CATTGGCATTAGTTATCACTAACGGTTAGCAGACGTGATGCATGTGCAATTCAAATAAATAATAATAAAACAAAATATTTTATTGTGTATTTTGTACTAATCAAGTAGTAAGAGTCATTTTTAAGAATAAACTAAAGGTCAAAAGTTCAAGTCTCATGTGACCTTAGAAATGGACACCAACTAGGGTGTTCCCTTTATATAGCAGTATAGATATTAAAATAAAGGCTAATGTAATTATGTCAAATGTATTGAACTTATTGTATGTGAGTGTAATTTACCCTTAATTTAACAAGGTTAGTATCATATGTGACCAATTAGATTCTTTGTAATAAGGGCAAATTTCACTTTACCCCCATGTGATTTGGGTCGAGTGTGGATTACCCCCTCTGACATTCGAAAATCCCCACATAACCCCCACGTAGTTTATGGACCAAAGTGCACGTCTAACTTCTGTTAACAAGAATGGTAAATTTACCTTTATACCCACCCTTGTCTTCTATATCCTTTCATCTAACTTATGTTATTCTTGCATCTTCGCTCTCTTATGGCAGCAACCATGGTTATTGTTATTGGAGCCCTTATATCTATTTGCTTGATGGAATTCGTCACCAGAGACAAAATCTGAGTGCTGCATTTCCCACAAAACGCAAAACCCATTTTTAATTTCTCTCATTTCTCCTCCTTAATTTCTTAAAAATTTTACCCTTGAAGGTCACCTAATTCTTGCTATATTTTTCAATTTTGATTCGTAAATAGTTCAAATTTTGAACGGCATATATATGTATATATATAAATTAATACAGGTTTCGGTGATTGTATATTCCACAAATATATCTAATATATATCACAAACTGTAAACATAATATAATACATATACACATTCATAATTTATATATATGTGTGTGTGTGCGAACGCTATAAACATAATGGATTCATCAAGCACCATGAAATCAAATTCAAATCGATCAAACCAAACAGAAATACATACTGTATACCCTTCCCAGCAACTAGCACAATCTAAGGGTCATTCAATTTCGAGTTGGATTGGATAATTTTTCGCTGAGAACTATTTACTGGTTCACTTGGAGAATTATTTGTTCCAACTTTAAAGCCATTAAAACCAGATCAAAGGGTTACAGATGTCATGACCTAACCCCAGTGGCTTAGAGTTGAAATCGCAACTTACTAACTTATTCTATTTGTAGCAAATTGAACTGCGCAAGCGGAAATAAAAATAATTAAACAGGAAATTATTCCATTTTACTATTTTAATAAGAGAAAATACATCTATAGGACTTTTATTATTTTATTATTTAGTGACCAGTCCCAAGTAGAAACAAAGGGGAGCAAAAATATATATATATAAAAAAAAAAAAGACAAAATAATGGTTCAACATCAATCCTCGTGCGAGTTCTATTACGTGAGGTTATGGGGTTCCTCTATATCTTGTCACCTAAAAGGGTAACAGCTATAAGCACACAGCAGAGTGAGAAATATTATGCTAAGAGTATAGGGAATACAAAATAACCATGTATGGTTAGTTAAGCCAAAACATTTATATAGTTCAATTTGGTAAATAAATCATTTAAGTGGCAGAAACTGAAATACGAAAATTATGTAAATAAATTACTATAATTACGATACAGAACAGAACAGAACATAACAGAGGTCACAGAAGTGATAATCAGAACAGAGGTCAATGGATTCATAACAAACAGAGGACCACAAAGTGACCAAACAGAAGTCAATGGTTATTTAAGTCCCCCAAGACATGAGACTCCGTGGTGGTACTTACAAAACATAATTGTTTATAAGATCACAGTCAAATATTCTTTAAAATTTAAACAAACATATCCATGGGTTTTATTTTAAACAAATAGAGTTTAGAAATTAATTCATGTAACTGAAATATTAATATAATTTATAAAATATAACTTGTATTAATATAACTCATAAAATATAACTTATATAAAATAAATTATGGTAAATCAAAATATACGTAAAATATATTATGATAACTCAAGGTATAATATAACTCATCTTAAGATTGAGTCTTACTAATTCTTTTTTATTTTTGTTAGTGTTCGACCCCTCTATTTTTCGTTGATCTCCTCTCTTTCTCTCTTTTTTTTCTTTTTTTTTTTTTTTTTTTTTTTTTTCTCTTCGTCGTTTTCACGTTAGCCAACTTCACCACTTTCCTCTTATTTATTTATGGGTCTGGCTTTGGTCCAGTCCACCATCGGACTGGACCGTGCTGTTGGACCCCGTAGGGGTTCATCACGGGTCCATTTTGAAATTTAAATCGTCAGTATGTAGAACTTTTCGAATATTATATGCCTGTAAAAAATCACGTTGATCAGGTATCGATAGCTATGTAAACAAATCAGTTTTGTATAAAAAAAAAAATAGACGGTAAATAAATTAACGGTTGGCAAAAAACTGATTTGATCACATAGCTATCGATATCCGATTAATGTGATTTTTTACAGACATATAGTACTCGAAGAATTCTACACATTAAACGGTTCAGATTTTCAAAACGAGAACCGTAGTAATCCCCTACAAATTCAACAGCACGGTTCAGTCTGATAATAAACTGGATGAAAACCAAACCCTTTATTTCTATACACATATTGGGTGGACTTTATTAATAAGCCTAAGGCTAATGATGGTTGGACTCACCATATATTAATAAGCATAAGATGACGATGATGATTCCGCCCCCACCCAACACAAAATAGCCGTTCCTCAGCTTCTAGTCATATTTGCAAATCTTCCTAATATTAAAACAAATCTTCTTAATTCATTATTATTTTTTTTATTTAATTAAATCTATATATTTCAATCTTTTCACACTAATTAGTGATTAATTTAGCCCTTCAAATAAATCTCCTTATCATATATTTGATAATCATAATGACAAATTAATTTACGTATAACTACCCCCAGCTGGGGGTGACACCTGGTGAGGTGTCAGCTGGGGGTTGGTTCGGGAAAACAGTTTTTCTTTTTTTTTTTTTTTTTTTTGATTTCTGACCAGTGGGGGCGCGCCACGTCACTGGGGGCGCGACCCCCACTGGGTGTATGAAGCAAGGTTGTTATTAATAAGTTAGGCTAATGATGGTTGGACTCACCATTTATTAATAAGCATAAGATGACGATGATGATTCCATAAAGTCCAAGAATGATAAACCAATCATGGAATCAAATTCACAAGAATACCCATCCATGGAATCAGATTCATGGAATAATATTTACAAATCAGTCTAACAAAACACAAATATATACTCTACAAATCAAACAGCAGTACAACAAAGAAGTGGCCAAAAATCTTATAATAACAAATTGTTTTGATCATGGTGGTAATCAAAACTCTGTGGTTATTGGTAGAGTAAACTACTAATAGGTCCTAATAGTTAGATTCAATTCCTATTAAGTCCTATTGAAAATAAGTCTTGGTAAAATTGTCACTAAAAATAATTTTTTGTGACAATTTTTTACATACGTCGCTAAAAATTAATAATTAGTGACTTTTTTTGTTATGATTTCTATAAATTGTCACTAAAACTTACAATTAATGACTTTTTTTATGATAAATTTTTTTCATAGAACCTATTAAACAATAAATCTACTCATTAAGACTTACACATAAGTATCCCTTATTGTTATTGGAGCCCCATGTGAATACTTTTCTGGGTTTAATTTATTAGAAATATACCAGCATGAATATGAGGTACTGGTGGAAAAGAAATGGAGTATAGAGAGAGAGGAAAAAACAATGACATTTTTTGGTAAATTTGAAGACGGATGAAAGGCATTTTCGTCTTAAAATAGACATACTCTCTATATAGTCGTGTGACTCCCACAGCCCGTTATCTTAGATAGAAAAACTAACAGTGCACTTTAGTCTAGGGTTATGTAGTGATTTCTGAATGTCAAGGGACAATCCGCACATGGTCCAAACCACAAGAGTGTAAAGTGAAATTTGCCCTTATAATAATTAATATTATTGCAATTTAAAATTATTGCAGAAAATTAATGAGAGAAAAATGCTTTGTTTGGTTTATTTTTGAGAGATAATTTTTGAGAAAAAAGTTTCAAAAAATTGTTTGGTTGAAAATTTTTGGAAAAAAAAAAATTCAAATCACGTTTTCTCTTTCTTTTTTTTTAAAAAAAAAAAAATTCTTTGTAAGGAATAAGAATTCCGTGTTTTAAAAGAAATTTGTGGTTTTTATTTTATTTTATATAAACTTTATTTATATAAAAAAATTTCACAAAAATAATATTATAAATAAAAAAACATCTACATGGATGTTCGATTTTAAAATGAAAGATCCATATTAAATCTCATTATTTTATATAGAAATTATAAAGAAAATAATGTCAATCAAGAAAATGGATTTTATGGAATAAAGTATAAATACATGGGACTAAGTGGGTTAAAAAATTCCTTCATGGACTTATTGGGTTAAAACACTTCTAAATGGGATTTATCAATAAAAAACTCAAAAAAAAATGATATCATGATATTAATTATGTCAATAAGGTTATACTCACCATATTTTTACATTATATATCTAACGTGTGACATACACAATAATTGTTGTAATGATATCCATACAAGCCTCATTTATATTCATATTTAACCATTAATAATTATACATGCTAAACAAAAAATAATATAAAAATATAATAAACATAAGACCAATTATTTTTTAAACAAATTTTTTTTTTTTGGTCATCGATAAATCTATTTTTTGAAACATTTTTAATAGTGCAATTTATGAAAACCTCAAAAAATTTACCATACAATAGAACATAATTCTTAAAAAAATCCAAAGTTGAGTGGGTTCAATTGACCAACTGCTTCATGCATAACTCCGCCCATGACTCCAGCATTAACAGCCCAATGACTAAAAAAAAAAATTACCCACCCAAAAAAAAAAAAAGCCAAATGACTAATGACACCGACCCACGTCCCCCCAATACAACTGTCATCTAACAACAGAAATAACCTCTCTTTTCCAGCAATTCAAAATTTCCATCGAAACAAAAGTAACTAGGACAAGCTACAAGTCACTGTCTCATAATTAAATAGGAGGAAACGGCCAAAGAGTTTGAATCAGATACAAAGGATCAGGCAAACTACATAGAGGGGAATTTATTGTTGTCTCCCCATGATGCACTTGACCAAGTCTAGGATTCGAAAATAATCATAAAAAAGTGCAGATTCTTTACCCTCCAGCCCGTCCCTGTGGTGGCGGTTGCTCCCCGCGAGGTTGTTGCACGGGCTTCCACCAATAACAAGATCAAACCCACCAACTGAATGAATAAGCTGCTCAATTCGATCACCGTCTAATTGTTGCACATCAGTAAAGTCGATGAGGTTTCCTTTCTGATTGGTTTGTTCCCACCAACCCCGGACAATATTCCTGTTGACTTCGGAAATCTCGACAGACACAACTGTTTTTAAGGGGATGCCGAGCCGATGAAGGGAAACTTCCGCACCACCTATCCCAGAGAAAAGCGATAAAAGGTTTATACCTCCAGGGTATAAATCCTTTAAGACAGAGAGGTGATAGGCCACTGTATCAATCTGAAAAGATTTCATCCCAAAAAGAAAATGGGCAAAGTTAAGATTAGAACTAGTCAATAAACACACGTGACGAGAAAAAATGAAAAAAGGTGTGTTGTCAATAAAATAATAAGAGAAATGCTCACCTGAAATGAATTACCAAGTGATTTGTATCTGTCGGTCCTACTTATACCACCTCCTCTTGTATGGTTCCTTGGGAACCCCAATAACATTTCCACTTCATCAGCCTCAAGCGGTGCAAGTTTGTTCCTGCCAACCCAAACTAGATTCCACTTTCGACATTCATCAAGAACATATTTTTGCACGCGCAAAGGTGGCTCACCATCCCAATCTTCAAGAGCTTTGCGAATCCTGTCCGTCAGTTTTGCACTTCCTATGCAAGTCTGTAGGCAATTTAACTTTGTTCGTGTATCCCACGATGGCCACCATTTCCTTGTTAATGGCAATGCTTCATGAATGGTGAGAGGAGGTAGCGGAAGAAGAGGAAACCTATTGTCGATTGGAAGATTGTGGACATAACCTCTTTTCCTTGCAGCTGCGCAGAAATACTTCGAGTCGACAAACTCAGGTTCGACATCATATAAAAATCTTTTGATGGTGTCCCAAACTCCTTTTGGAGCTAGTGCCACATTCTCATAATAGAAGTAGGGAGGCCCCATGGCTGCCTCTGGAAGGGTTCTATGAAATGTTTGAGATGATTCCATAGGAACTCCAAAGCCAATCATTGGTTTTGGAAGACGAATAGTCTCACTATCCTCACTCATCATCCTCTTCTCATACCTCCTTTGCTTTTTCCTTTTCCACAATTCTCTCTCAAAAAATTTCCTCTTTGGCTTCGGCTGTGAAATTTGAGAAAAGATCAATTACGCAGAGGATTTACCAATGGCAGTATGAACAGAATTAACAAAAAAAATAAAAGCAAAAAGAAGGATCCTGGTGCATTAGTAATTAAAAAACAAACTATAAAAGCCGTAAAAATTTATTCCCCTATCATGAAAAGGGGTTAATTGAAAACCTGATGTTTCATTATGGGGAAGAAATACAAAAAATTAAAATAAAAAATAAAAAACTTATCATCATCAGGTAGTAGATAATCTGCTGCCTTTGCCATTTGAGCAGCACATAAAAAATCTGTTATTTCATCAATTGAGGCATCTGGACCTGCAATATTTTACAGGCATTATTAAGAGAAAGATTAAATCTAATGAAATGAGCAACTACAACACACAGGAGGATAGACAAAGTTTAGCAATATCATCCAGCAGAAATAACTGGTTAACAGGACCCAAACGAGTATATACATGACAATCAGTATCACAATTCAGTGGAAGATGGAAATGTAAGATGTCCAGTATATTAATTTAAGTTTGACAGGGTTTCAGAGTACAAGAAAGGTGTGGCTATGTACCAAAAAAACCAATTGCAATCTTCTTTGATTCATTATAATAACATGCTTGTGCAATTTACAAGACACTAGAAACCAAAGAAGCACCGACATGGACAAAAGAATACAAGATATGATATGACATGTGGGGGACACAATATATCATATGACATATTTGAATATTTCATTCAAAGATAATAAAAGAGTACAACGTAACAATATTTCCTGAAGTCTACAGTAGGAGAGATTGTTATTCTTTTATCATTGAATCCTAAGTTATTTTCTTCAAGCTTGCAATGCGTTTCATGTGTGTCTCCCAAGCATGTAAAGCGTGTCCAAGTCTAAAAGAATTTAAAAAATAATAAGACATGTTTGCATGTATGTTCAACTCACTTCACGAAGTGTCCGACAAGTGTCAATGTCTGACACATGTCCAAAATGAACACGAGAAGTGTCCGTACTTCTTAGCTAGAAACTATAGTAACATAAAGCATCAAAGACCAGTGCAGTGAGAAAAGATATCAAGTAAATAATGTAGTTATCTAGTGTCTCACAATAATAACCCATTCACAATAAAAATAAAAAAAAAGGTCAGAATATGCTTTAGGAATCAAATGGAAGGAGACCTAATTCTTTCTCTCAGCAAAGCACACAAAAAGAGAAGAGAACCCAGGAAGTTCCGGTTACCGCAACCGTTACACTACGGCCTTTACACCCCGCAACCGCAACCGCGTCACCGCCACCGTTACGGCGACCGCAACCGCTTTTCAGAACCTTGCCCATGAGGAAATGGAATGCAGATTATGACAAGAAAATTTAAAACCAAAACAAAAAGAAACCACAACCAACTATTCACATGTTGACAGATAATGGACAGAACAAAACATACATGGAAAGATACATGTGGCAGAATATAAATCCAAAAACCTAAATGATCTCCGGAACAAACAATATCAAAACCAAAAATAGCATAAAACAAACATATTATCAAATATGCACCACATCTATCCATAGCTATTGACGCCTCTTCCACCGTATACCCCATCTTTGCTAGGGATAACAAGGTCTTCTCCTTATCAGACAAAGACTCCGTATTTTCCTGCCAAGAAAAATCAATCAAAAAAACCAAAATCAAACCAGGAAGGACGTGCATCCCAAGGGAATTACAAGAGACTCAATTCATTGCAGTTAGTATGAATACTACTTCCCAAAAGCTTAAGAAATCACTCCCATGGCATATCAGATGAAACCTTTTAAGGCCGATAAAGGAAAAGTTACGATTACAAAACAATTACAATTGACCAAACAGTTGAAATTATCATAAAACCATTAATTGCTGTATAAGGAAACAAAGGAAATAACGTTTAAGGTCACCTTTGGTATTGCCTTGCATGGTTGTACAAACGATAGTTACTTCCAGAGCAGAACAAAAGTGAAGAGCTTTAGGGTTTTGATGGTGTTAGATCTTATTTTATTGATTCTATAGAAAAACTCTTCTTGCTTTCCTTTTTTTGGTCCAGAATAATGTAGATATTGAATAAAATAAAACCATCACTCACATTAAAAACATTTATTGGGGACATAAAATAAATTTGGTACTGCAAAACAATTTAGTGACACTTGACTTTTCAAGTAAATACCAATTAGATGCCAACACAAACCTGCCAAATCAGCACATTGTGTAGATTGACATATTCAATTATTATCAGCCTACCAAGTAGATGCACAAGAAAAAAATGAAAACAATGCATTTCCATATATGGTGCTGGGAATAGGATACAGATTCAATTAGTCAAGTGGAAGTACCAGTGGACATAAATTTCCAAACAGTTCTACATATTGCTTCTCATCTGTGGCACTAGGGACAGTTCTGGTAGAGAGAACTGATTTTTCCCGGTTGTTAGATATTGGCAGAAGGGTAGTCTAGGTGATTGATGTATCAAAGCATTACATACAAAAATCAACTACATAGTAACTATAACCAAAAGAACATTGCTACCTCATCTTCAGACCAACTATCTGAATCGGAGATCTCATCTAGAAAGTTCTCATAATAATCCGAAGAGCTGTGATCAGAATCAATAACAGGTTTCTGTTGTGGCGGAGAGTTTTCAAGAGCCTGCAAGAAATAGAAATTGTGAACCTCTGCACAGGAGAAATACAATTCCAATCAGGGATCATTGGTTAAACTTAGGAAAGGTGGAGATTTAAGCAGGTAAAATTGTATCTTGGAGGCAATTTCAACATCGGACTGGAGAATAGATAAATAATCAGAGCCATTGTGGAAACCGTGAAGATAAAATAAGCAAATGCATGCTGGAAGTTGGAGAAGGTTCACACCAATTTAGAAGTATCACACCTGGGCATAGCATTAGTCACAAAAAGGAAATATGGGGCAGCACAAGCAGACCACGATGGCTAGAGGACAAGAAGTCCTCTACAAAGGAAACACAAAAATGACCTCTAAAAGGAAAATATAAAGGCAATTCTCAAACACCACAAATCGCCTTCCAATCATTAGAACATGTAAGCAAAGTTTATACTACTCACAGAATATGTAAGCAAAGTTTCTAGGATTGATTCCGTATTTCCTTCTCCTGCGCATTGTTAAAATAAAGTCAAACATTGCTTTCAAGCTGAAAACTAGCCCTTAAGAAAAGCGACATTGCAATTACCATTTTCCTCAATGGCTTTTGCAACCAGTTTCTCAGGAAAACCCATTCCTACAAAATGATGAATCAACTTGGAGTGGGAAGGACTTGCCGAGAAGCTCGCCTTGAGACCACAAAAAACAAGTAGTCAACGATAAGTTTACAGTATCGATAAGAATGTACCAAGTTACAAAGCAATTTCTTTAAACAAACAAAAGCCCCAAAGAAAAAGTTGGAAGTGCAAAATACAGAAATGACTACATCAAGTGCCAAAAATAATGACCATGACAAGCACGAAAGCATCATAGATTGAATGGAAATGTATAATCTGGCTACATGCTGGAAGATCATTTGAACAGCCTTTAAGTACAAAGGGCCTTTGTCCAGTCCAGAAAACCCTAGGAAAATCATCAACCCACAACTGCAAAATGATCTGCATCCTAGAACAGCAACAGTCCCACCACTAGCTCCACCTCCAAACAAACAAGAATGAAGAAACCAGAAATCAACCCAAAAAGGAGATCAAGGCCTTCATTCAATGGAAACTAGCCCAAGTCAAACGGACTGAAGCCTTCGATCTCCCTCCTCCACGACTATCAGGCACATAGATACCAATAAGCATCCAAGAAACTATCATACAGATACAAATTGAAAATTGTTTAATCCGTCAATATCCTCCAAATAGGCATAGTAACATCATCTTATGAGCCATTTTTAAAAAAAAATAAATTATCATCTCAAGCACATTCAGCAAGAATGACAAGGTAGTAGATTTTACTGACAGGTTTCAACAAAATATTATATTCATGCCACTTGTTAAGGCTGAGCTCCCTTCAAAATTAAGAAGAAAAAATCATTCTAGTGTTTGGGCACTCCAGCACTGTGTGTGACTATAGCATGTCACAATATGACTATTACGGAACAATGTCCATTAAAAGAGGATCCTAACAAAAAAGCTAATCAATTGGATACAATTTTTCAAGTACCAGTCTACAGTGAAGTGCTTTTTTACCATGAGAATTTCAGGCAAGCCCATACACAGCATCAGCCACATGCACAAGCATTTCAACGATGTCCCGCATGGGTTCATAACATTCAACAATAGTAATCAGTTACTGGTAGGATTACTAAAAAAGACAAAATTTCCTTCTCTAGGTGTATAGCAATTCCCCAGTCGCTAATAATTTTGGTGCCACAACAAGAAAAAAAATTCACTATAGCTTCTGCTATAAGCCTACAATATTTACCTCTCCAGCACATACAATAGCTTCTCCACCAGGATTTGTCAAAGTTGAACACGAAGACAAAGGAAAATTCTGAATTTCTAGTTCATCTTCAGTATCCCAATCAATGTTGTCACTCTCTTCCCCAGAGGCATTCCCACCCTACAAATAATTAAAACACACCACAAAGGAAAAGAAAATAAATCACAATTAAAATAGTTGACCACAAGGATGATTGTTTTCTTTTCAAGTTACTAACCAACATACCAATGTTTACCAAACATTAAGGCTTTGTTTAATTTTGAAATAATGCACTATTAAGTAAAAAAATAGGAGATTTAAAATTGAGGTTGAAGAGGTAAAAATTATATGAGAAAAGGATACGTACCATTTTGCAGTGCCACTGGTTTGGTCCAAGCACGCTCCCAAGCTGTACAAGAAATATATGAAAAAGGTTACCAAACTAGTGCAGCATACACAGCATAATTTAACAAGAGCAATGTGGACCTTAAATTGTCTTATAAGTTAATAATCAAAAGGCCAGACTAAAATTACATACAGTCAGTAATTAATATGCCAAGTCAACAATTGACCATCATAAGCACACCTTCAATCCAATAATTAATTTCTTACGCAAAGGTGACTGTTTCCCAGACCAGTTGTGAAATAGCTAGAAGTCAACGTTAAGGCCTCGTTTGGCAAGTTAACATTTTAGCCAAAAAGTTACTAAAAAAACCAAAAAGCCTATAACCTATACCAAAAAGTTAAAGATTCCATTTTCTCTCTACTTTTTGCACATTTTTTCATAAAAAACCAAAACGTCACCCCAAACATACTAGTTTTTTTTACCTCATATTTTAGCCAAAAGGTCAAAAGGTGACTAAAATAACCTGTTCCGAAAGGGGGCCTTAATGAAAAAGATATACGATGAACAAAAAGAAGAAAAAATACATAACATTATGTTGTAAATACACCAATACAGCTCTAATTAGCAAAAGGATTTCAAAAATTTCAAAAATCCTTTTATTCCCCCCCCCCCGGCACGGGAAGGGGGGAGGGTTTAAGGTAACAAGAACATATAGACGGGACAATTATCCAGGATTTTCGAAAGCCAATTATTGTCAAAAAATAAATATAGAATTTTGATCAAGTTGAACCATTCAAGGTTGATCCTATCAATTTCGCTTACAGCTCATAGCCTGTCATGCTAACTAATCAAAAGGTACATACGGTCAGTAATTAATAAGTAATTAATACTTCATTTTAGCCCTTTTTTCCTTTTGGAGATGGGGGAGGGGTTAAGGTAACAACAACATATATTAATTTCATCCACAGATGGGACAACCAAAATTTAAAAGGGTACATGACGGGTCCTCTGATTGCACTAGTGTACCTGGAAACTATTTTACTATCCCTTCACTTACACCACGAAATGTTGAAAATGTTGTACCATTTCCCCCTAACAAAATGAAGAAGTTGAGGAGTGGAATAATTTATTTATTTTTTATGTTTAGTTGTGTGTGGCTATGTAAAGTGGTTAATTCAAGATAGATAAGAGCCAGTTACTGGCACTATATATCAATGTACTGGCTTAAAGGTACAAATTACTTGAGATTCATTGCCTGTCTTTGTTTCAATTACTTAGTTGATTAAATGGACCACTAAAGCTTTATAAGATCCAAACAACCACTTGAATACTAAAAATGTATTTGTTCCATTTCCCCTTTAACAAAAATGAAGTTGGGAGCAGAATTTTTTATTTTTGGCTCTATAAAGTGGTCAATTCAAGAAGACTAGAGCTAGTTATTGGCACTATATAGCCAATGTGCTGGCTTAAAAGTACAAAATACTTGAGGTTCACTGCCTTCTTAAAGAACTCAACTCAACAAGCATGTGTTCCAACTACTTGAGGTCAGTTCCATTTTTCATACTACAACTTTATTATATATTAAAATAATTTTTTTATAAGTTGACACCAAGTAAACAGAGTTGGTATTTGGTTGGGGTATACACCCTAAAGAATTATTAAAAGAATTTCATCAAAAGAGGATGATAATCATCCAAAGATTGGAAATCTCTCCATGAAAGTTTGCTTCACCCCTAATTACTAACTACTATCTCCACAACCCGCTTGAGACATTGGCCATGCAACAAAGAAGGCTTATTCCTTGTGTTTGATCTCGAACTCAGAAACCCTAGCTTCATCAAATTAACATCTTTCAAAACTCAAAATTATACAAAATTAAAAAACCAAAAACAAAACCCTAGAAACTCTGTGTGTTTTATACCAAACACTTGAAAAAGCATCAACACAAAATCAATTTACAAAACCTAGAGAAAAGGAATAAGAACACTCCAGATTTCTGGATTACTATTAAATAGGATCAATCGACCAAAATAGCAGTTACATAAATAAAAAGTACACTCTAAACAGAGATCAAAATGATAATAATCGAACAAATTCGAATGAATTAACGAGAACTCACCTCACACGCAGATAATCAGTGTGATCTTGAAAGCAACTTCGATGACATCGAAAATGTACATATACACATACACATACACATACACATACACATACACATACACGCACAGGTAGATTTAGAGAGAGAAAGTAGTAGGAGAGAGAGAGAGATAGAGAGAAAGAGAGAGAGAGAGGGAAGAGGGAAGAACTCGTGACAATTAAGAGAGAGAGAGAGAGAGAGGAGAGAGCGAGAATGGGAAAGCCCTTTTGTGTGGAATCTGTGCAGAAACAGTGAAAAACATAAAGTACACGCCACGGTGGAAAAATCGATTCTACTCGCGCCACGTTGGATTAACTATGTTACTATTTATTTTTAAAAACGTTATAAATGTCAAATTTTCTACTAAAAACTAATTAAATGTCTTATATGTGAGTATGAACCCCACATTTGATCATTTATTTAATCAAAAATTTAATATTCTTAATATTATCTATTTATTTCATAGGTCTTTCCCTTCCGACAATTCTTTCCTCAGTTGACTCACTTCCTCAACGCCTCTCTCCTCAACTGACTCACTCTCTCTAGTTCTCAGGTTATCGTTTTCTCTCTCCCCCTCAACTGTGGTCTTTTTTATTTTTCAACAATATTAGAAAATTTTAATTTTAAAACTCTAAAGAGAATTCTAACAGGAACTTTAATGATATAGGAAGAGAAGAAAATAATAAAAAATTAAAAATATAGATACACACATCACATTACATATGGGTCTCACTCTTTACCACATTACTAAAGCTTTTTTTAAAGTTTTAAAATTAGAATTCTCAATCTTTATTTTTATTTTTTTATCTAGATGAATGACCAACAAACACAACTTTATTTTCAAATTTAAAAATATATATATATTTAAAAAAAAGACAAGAGTTAGGGAGAGAGGGAAATAACCCAATTGCCGAATAAAATGAGTCAATGGGGGGAGAGGCTTATTCAATTTAAATTAAATTGGAGAGAGTTGTTGGGCTTATGTAGACTCATCATTGAGGCCACCTTGATGATCCGGATCATTGAATATGTACGACTTATCGATTATTTTATTCCTACAAAAAATTAGATTAATCGGATATTTATAGTCACTTGATCAAACTACATTAGTATTAACGGTAAATATAATTTTAAAAATAAATTGTTAACACAAATGTGATCTCATCAAGGGCTATCGATATTTGATTAATGTAATTTTTAATAGGAATGAATTAATCGATGAACTTTACATATTGAATTGTTCGAATCATTGATGCCGCCTCCGTGGTCGGCTTACAAACGCACCCTACGTACCCAAGCCCTGATGGAGGAGAGAGTTGCTGGAGGGAGAGGGTCCGTCTTAGAGTTTTCCCTTGGGTCACTGTTTTGTTTTGTTTTCTCTTTCCTTTACTTAACTAGCGTTTTCTTTTTCTTTTTTATTGCTTGATGATGTGGCAAAATCCACACCATTCAGTAGAGTTGAGCTCGATGGAACATGCATTTCCCTTTATTTTAATAATTCATAGTTTTGTTCTCAATAAAGTAAAAAATACAAGACAGTGGAAAGTTGAAAAAATATTTACTAAAAAGTGAGAGGTGTAAATTTCAGGAAAACTTGCACCTCATGTTTTTGTAATTCTTTTTTTATTTTTAATATCTTTTTTTTCTAAAAAAAAATATAGGCATGTCATCCTTGTTAAATTATTATTATTTTTACTAATTATATATAATGTATGATTTATATAAAATGTAAAATTGACACCTTTATTTAAAAAAAATTATTAATAATAATAAAATTGAATAAATAGAGATGTCATGTGTGGACCCATTTATTATGAGTTTGATTGATCTTAGTGATAGTGGTGAGTACTGTCCATAGCATAGTGGTAAGGCTTGTTGTGAGCGAGTAGATCAATTTCTATACTCTCAAGTGTATAAGTTTATCTAAATCTTTGTACTGGATAAGACTAACACAAAAGTCTTAATAGTTATGTTTGGATTTTAAATTTATTATAAAAATAAAATGATTAAAGTTTGAATAATTAATTTAATTTGTATTAGGTTAGATCAAAATAATAAAAACAAATTTTATTAGGTTATACAAAATAACTAAATGAATAAACATTTGGTAAAATATTTTTTTATTGTCCAAAAAATAATATTTATTTTTCTTTAAAAACTTAAGATCTGAATAGAACCTTACGGAATAGAATCAATAATTATTAAAAGGAAATTTTAAAAAACAAATTAAACATAGTTAAAATCTTTTGAATTTGATATACAAATACCATACTATTTTACCTTTTTTAAATAACTAAGGTACTCAACAAATCAGAATAGCATTCTGCAATAATTCTTTTTACAGCAAATTTGCAATACTAATTTAAATTGTAATTAGAGTAAAAAATACATAATTGATTATAATTTAAATACTATATGATTATTGCATTACAACTCACATCATTAAATTGGAATCTTCTATGATTACTGAATATTTTTTTATTGAGTTTTTAAAACACAACTTGACAAGTATAAGTAATAAGTAATGTGAACAATAAGATTACCAAATAACCTTAAAGCCCCGTTTGTTTTGAGGTATAATGGATGGGAGGGGATTAGGATAGAGGTGAAATTATTTAGTGTTGTGTTTGTTTGTAGAGTTGGAGAAGAGATTAGGATGGAGAAGGGGATTAAGATGGAGGCTAGGTTTGGCATAACTTATATAATTCATCTTTTTATCTTTTTATCTTTTTACCATCACATAACCTCTCTACTTTTCTGCACATCTTTTCGTAAAAAGACAAAAAGTACACTTTTTTAGGACACTCCAAACTAACCCGGAGATTAGAAGGGGGAATTGAGATAGAGGAGGTGAAGGTGAAGGTGGTGTATTAAAAAAATAATAAGGGAATTAGAATTTTATTTTTATTTTTTACATATTGAATTTTTTTTTTAAACATTAATATTTAATTTTTTATATTTTTTATTTGTTTTAATATTTTATATAAAAATAATTTAACAATTCCTACACTAACAACTATCATCAAAACAAAGACAATTTTACTTAATCCGCTCACTATCAATCCCCTCACAATGAATCCCCTCATTCCATCTCTGAAAAACAAACAGGGCCTAAGTTTGTTTAGTTTTAGATTTTTGGCTAAAAGAGTATAAATAAACAAAACAACAATGATTCATCCCACTAATTTAGGAACACTAATTGATCACTAAAGAGGTGGAAATTAAATAAAAAAAAAAACGCGAACAAAACATCCCATCATGTGAGACCCACACTACTTTAAAACTATTAATGCTCCTCTTTTTAGTGATCTCACTCATTTTTCTAGACAAAATTAGCTATATAAATCAATAAAAAAATATCACATCCAAACTATAATCATCACATTTTTTTTTCTCACAAAAATTAAAAAAATATTTTTTTTTTCCAAAAAAATAAAAAAAACACACCAAAAGGGGCCAAAAAAAAAAAAAAAAAAAAAAAAACCTAACAAAAAAGCCAAATGTCAGACTAGTGTTTTGGGGCTTAAGTAGGTGGCAGACAAGCAACACAAAAAACAAGGGAGTAGGCAGTCGGTGGCTGAGAATGTAACACCGACAGTGCAAATAAATTTAATCCACACATTTGCAACTCACATCTTAAAATACATTTAAATCTGATTCCTAGATTTCATTTTCAAATTTGGTAGAAGAAAATGGTATTTGGATAGTGGATATTCAAAATATATGTCCGGAGACAATATTCACCATATCTTCTCGAATGAACAGTAATTACGCAACGTTTAGCAACAACAATAAATAATTGGTATAGATAATTTTGGTGAAAGTTGGTTTTCATATTTCAAAATATTTCATATTAATAATAAAATATTTACTCTGTTGCATATATGAAGTACATACATGTTTATCTTGCATACTTTCCATACCATGTCATTAAATCACAGATGAGTCATGTGAAGGTAGAGGAAAAAGAGAAGAAAATAAAATTATTACTATTTTGATATTCTGAGATTTTTTTTTTTGTATGCACAAAAATGTTTAAAAAAAAATTATGATTTAATTTCAACTTTAATTATTTTGATTAAGCCACATTATTATTAAGATGATTTTGATGATGTAGTATATTGATATTTTTCATGTGAGCTAATATTTGTTTTATGTGTTACATTTTGAAAAATTCGAAAATAGCATTCTAAACTCTTAATTGATCATATCATCTATTGAAATCTTCTCATATTTTGAGTTTATCTATTTTTGTTAAAGATAAAAGAAGGGAGTGAAATATAACAATATTTATTATGTGCTTACTTAACTTGATATGATTACTTTTTATACACTGTATATTTTATGTGATTGTTTTATGATTGTTATATCTGCACAAAATCACCATAGAAAAAAGAAGTACCAACTTAGGGAGAGAAATAATTTTGCTAAACATTTTTATGTGATTTTTTTAATTATATATTCATTCTCTCTCTCTCTCTCTCTCTCTCTCTCTCTCTCTCTCTCTCTCTCTCTTTCTCTCTCCCACTTGTTGTCTCGTTCTGTAACGCCCCCAAATTATTACAATAAAACCAATCCTTAAAGCAGAAGAATAATAGAAATAATATGCTTTCATTCATCAGAATTCGTTTACAAAAGTTAACACATGCAATATATATTTACAAATGTTCATCCTGAATCTACAGCATGTGTTGCAAAGTTAAAAAAACTAAAACTAAACACATAGTCATATGTTCTACATGCCTACATCTTTTCAAGTCATTGCTTGGTTATACAAATGTGAGCATTGCTCAATACAAGTTAAGCCCTTGGCTATACAAAAGAATATAACAAAATAAAGAAACTCTTCCTCCCAAAAGTCCCTCCAAGTTATTGTCTTAGTGGAGGCATATCACTAACACCTGAAAATGGATTTTTTTCAAATAGGGTGAGCCAAAACCCAGTAGGAATAACCTATCACAATATATGAGATTTAACAAAGATATAAATACAATGTGCATATACAATGCTTGTGACAAACATTCACATTTTTATATCATCATAAAATACAAAGTTCATATCTTATTCCACTTTTCTTCAATTCATTTCAATTCATGAGTCAATTCTATTATCTCTCAACAACGCAACTGAGACTGTAACTCAGTGGTTTTCCAAGTCAATACAATACCACACAAACACTTCAATCTGCCATTTTACGAAAATTTTGTCCGCGGAATCGACACTGATGTATGCACAAGATTTTGGGACTTTTGCCCTGGACATTTCGGCCAACTTAATTTCAATGGAGTCCATCCCCTCTCTCCTGCCAAACAATGTAGTACATCTCATTTCTCCTCCCAAACATCATACATATACAATGTATTTAAAGCATAGTCACATTCAATGACAACCAACATTAGATTAGTTTCAATTTACCTAATCCTCATGCAATTTCTATAACAATCATAATTATCATCCACCGATAGCCTAATATAGATATTTCTAAACAGATATACAATCTTTTCAATAGATAAATTATTCAAATTTTCATGGGTGAGAGACAACACATGTCCAACTCCACTATTTATATCAATACTCATCCAATTTCACATTACCAATGTCAATGTCAATTTCAATTATTTATACAAAATAACTATTTGATCCAATTAAGGCAAAACTTTCTATTTTTCAAATATCAACCCAAAGTACCAAAATCAACAATTTTGACACAATACAACCTCATTTTCAAACTCCATAACCATTTACTTTCCATTCACCAAAAACCCATCCTTTTATTTCACACACAAACCCTAGGGTTGTTCAAACTACTCTCAAATCCCACCATTGTTACACAACGACAAATAACTAAGTTAAAGACCATATAAAGGTGTAGAAAATCCCTACCTCAAAGAGAGAAGACGAGCAAGGCAAGGATGAAACTCCAAAGATGCTCAAACCCAACTTTGTTCGGATCAAAATGAAGATCTTGAGATGCTCTACCTTTTTCTCAAAGGCACTAAGGTGAAGATCCCAATGGATCTAGGTGAAATAATAGAGAGAAGATGAGACTCAAGATCTAAGTTTTTGGAAAGTTTTAGAGAGAGAGAGAAATAAAAAAGTGATGAGCAATGTCATCTTCTCGGACTGTTATATACGCAGTCCACTCGAGCGTCAGACACAATGTTCCGCTCAAGCCCAAGAAGTGATGCTCGAGTGTAGAATACACACTTTCAGAAATTTTGCAGACGAAGGACATTGCTTGAGCGCAAGACTGGAGGCTCGAGCGTCCACTCGTTCGAGTGTAGGAAACCCCGCTCGAGCATAGAACATACTCTTTCAATATTTGCAGGTCTGCAAAAATATTGAGAGTTTGCAAACCTTGCTCGAGCGCAAGTATGACCGCTCGAGCGGAGGAGAAAAATTGCGATGCCCGTTCGAGCGCAATAATGGCCGCTCGAGTAGAGGAGGAAAAATTTGGGCAACAAAGGTTTGGAAAAACAAGCAACCAACCTGTTCCAAATGCTATTACAGAAATCATCAGCTTCAGATTGATATTGGAGTCTTGTCATAATGTCCTTGCACATACAGGGGGTACAGGAAAACCAGAAAAGTTGATCAATCAAAGCATTTTTTGTGAGACCAGTTACAGTACAACAAACAAAACAGATTCATTGTTCTTAACTTTTCAACCAACAAGGTAGAGAAACACGGTTACAGACACAATCTAGTTCCATAGGTATTGACATCGATGTTACACACCCTAGGAACCAAGTAAGGAACACTGCTTACGGGCATGTTCTGGTATCAGCTTTGACAAAAGCTCCAACGACGCTCCTTTCAGCTCTGCAAATGCAGCGTCATCATTCAAAACACATTCAAGCAGGACCACACACAAAAAAAGGGGAAGAACAAGAAAAAAAAGGCCAAAACAAACCATGAGGTCTAAAGTTGAAGAGAGGAGGAAGGGGACGGCCATTAGGGAGACGAGTATCAGGATCACGAAGTTCATCAAAAAATTGGTGGGCACAAGCTTCTAACTGCAAAATAAACAAACACATTGAAGAGATGTCAATTACAGTCAACATGAGGACAACCTGAAGTAAACTTTAGAAAACCATCGATTTCTATGATGAATAGGAGAAGAGGAAACTTTTTACGTCTCTTGAAAAGAATTTGGTATAGGCCCATATCCTGTACTTCTCCAAAGAATAAATTTTGCCTTGAAATGCAACACGAGACATTTTCTTAAGGAAAAAATGGTAGGGACTCCCAAAATTTTATCAAATTTTCTACCAAATGTCTTACATGGGTGTGGGACCTACACCATGTGGGTTCTATGTAAGTCTCACACTCATGTAAGACATTTGCTAAAAAATTTGATAAAACTTTTGAAGTTTCTAATATTACTCTTCATTAAGTGAAAAGCATCACAAAACATTATCACAATGTCAAATTCATTTGTACATCAAAACATGTATTCAAGCATTTGTGTGATACAAAAACATGGATTTGGAGAAACCAAAGATACAAACAGCATAGAATTTGCAGTGTAAATTGATTTGAATCAGAAAAGGAAGAATTATCTTAATTTATACGTAGGAAAAATAACAGGGCAAAGATAAGATATACTCACAGCATTGCACCTCAAGTTTGGGGAGTACTGAAGAAGTCTTGAGACAAGATCCACGGCTTCAGGGGGCATGCGCTTGTGAAAAATCTGTGTACAAGAAGAATATGGTTTTAGATGATTACATGTATAACCCACAAAGCATCACTGTCATACAAGAGTGGTCAGCATGGAAACTAGCATGCTTACTTTGTGCCATGGATGAGCCTTGATTTGAGGAAATTTGAACTCCGTATAGTTGGGATTCATGCATTTGATTTCTTCCCGAGTAGGAGTTCCAAGTACCTAGAAACCAAAGAAACAATGAGCTCTATCTTCAAAAGCTTAAAGATCAAAAAGTATATGTCCATCAATCACAGACATATATCATGTGGGGGTCCAGGAAATTACCTTAATTATCTCAACAAGCTGGTCAACTCCACTCTCGCCAGGAAAGAGAGGCTACGAGTTTGGAATGAAGAAAAAAAAACAAAGAAAATAAAGAAGAAAACATCAAGTTTCTTAACAAGTCACTGGTCTGCACCAAGTAAAAGAAAGAGATTATGCAGAGCTTTTAAAGAACCTGTCCCAGAAGCAGTTCAGCAAGGACACAACCCACAGACCATATGTCAATTGCGGTTGTGTATTCAGTAGCCCCAAATATCAGTTCAGGTGCACGATAATAACGAGAACAAATATATGATATGTTTGGCTCACCTTTTACCTGTACAGATCATAAATAGAGAGAGAGAGAGAGAGAGTGCATTATGCAGAAGGAGAGTAACGATTTTTCTATGGGACACATCCAACCATAAGAAAAAACAAAAGAAATGGGAGGCCAAAGCAATCATGGAAACTAAATACAATGAAACACAAGTCAGATGCATTTTTTGCTGTATAAATCTTCGAAGAAGTTCAACGATCATGCAACTGCAATGTGTACATGAACTTCCATCAAAGTGATCTTAAGAACACATATACAGTGTTTAACATGTATCCGGGGAATAAATGTTCTTGTATGCACTTTGTTCATGCTCCCAACCCTCGTAAAAACAATTAAATGGTCCCATCAACTGATTTGCTCATACTACATTCCAGTAAGGATATTCAGAGAACTTTTGCAACGAAAAACATTGTATAGGCATTATGTTTAAAGATCCAAGTTACAAACAAGCAGATACCGTACCAGAACTTTTGCACTTCCAAAATCACAGAGTTTGAGCTGATGAGTATGGGGATTAACCTGCAACAATGGATTGTGTCGGTTATAGCATTCATTCACGATGCAGAAAGAAGTCTATCCACCAACCCCCAATACAAACCAGTAGATTCTGAGGCTTAATGTCCCTGTGGCAGACTCCAACAGCCCCATGAATATATGCCAAAGCTCTACAAATCTGCCAATATTCAATAGAAGTCATGTAACACAGCAATCATATGTTGCAAACAAAACCCAAAATTCATTTGGTTCGTTGTTTTCAGAAAAACTGGGTTAAAAAGAAGCAGTTTTCAGGAAACAACATAATGATGCCTGCTGTGTCCAGCTAGGAATGCAAAATGACCAAAAACGCCGAGTTTTTCTAGATTTACACAGTTTTCAGAAAATATTTTCATGACACTAGTTTGCTTAGAAGTAGTGAATATTTTTTGTAATAAGTTCAGGAAATAGAAAAACAAGCAAAAATAGTAATATAGCCAATTCAATTACTTCACAAACTAGCAAAAGTGCAAATAGGGAAGAATATATCACATATAGCAAAAGGGGCAGACCCTCCCAATGCTTGTAGTTTGTGCATCAGAAAATGATATTACACAGATGTCAAATATTAAGAACGCCATACCTGATATGTGTAGAGTTTGACGTATATCATAGGCATTCTCTGATTCGCCCTGCTGTAGTGTTTAGCTACACGATAAACTGTCTCGGGTACATATTCAAGAACCAAATTTAGATAAAGCTCATCCTTGTCTGTAGTTGAAAAAAAGCAATGTTTCAGTGAAACAACATTGGGGTGATCAAGAAGGCGCATTGTTTGCAATTCACGATTCTTGTATCTCTTATCCTGTAAAACTTTCTTGATTGCAACAGTTTCCCCAGTTTCAAGGCACTTAGCCTGCAAAATAAGAAAATTGGAGCTGAAGAGCAATAGTAACTATGATTGGAAAACTATGCACTGCATGTCAGCATTGTAAGTAAAACATCAGTTACCATTACTAATAATTCAGGATTCGAACTCAAAATATCACCTGAAATACAATTCCAAATGAACCCTGTCCAACAACACGTTCTGCCATGTAGCTTATGGTCTGAATCCAAAAAATAATAAACAAATTAAGCCATGGAGCAGTGAAACATTACAAGTAATACATTACATCTTTATATGTAATGTTAACGGGCATGTACATGAACTCTTGACTAGCACTTCAAATAGGAATCAAAAAGAATCATGATACCACTTAGAAGGAGTAGCAGATGAGGCTATCAACAAACATACACAAATTTTTCTTGTGATATTTTTTCTACCCAAAGTACTTTGTGTGAATTTATTTTTATCTTTATGTGGTTTTTCAAAGAATAGATACCAAAGACTTTTGGTAAGTTCAGCCATTATTATTATTTATACTTACTCTACACAGATGTCAATTTATAATTTCCTCATGCCAAAATTTAACTAGAAGTTACCAGAATACAATCAGCTAATTCCACAGCATCTACCTGCTTTGGTTGACCATTTTTACCACCAATAGTTGTTACAATGATATGACCAGTTTCAGTTCCATTTCCATCCACCACTGTTGCTTCCATTTCCTACCACATGAGAATTGTCAAGAAACAGATATAGAAGATAAGACGGAAACAGAAAGCAAAAGGACAATTTGTCCAAGTTCATAAAAGGCAACCTTTTCCACCTTGTCATCTCTGATCTTCATTTCATTGATTTCCTCAGGGAGCTTGTCAACCAACATTGCATTATCACTAGGTTTACCAATTACTGAAGGTACCATACCAGCTGAAGCCATATCTGGCTAGCAGAGTCAGGGATTCTATATTTCAATTGCTTAAAAAATGCAACCCATCCTGAAAAGAATCAATTTTTTAAACCTGAATGAAATGAGAAAACTCTTGAGGATATCTTTTGTTCATTTCTCAAAGCAACCAAAAGATTTCTCACAACCAAACCAGCTAGGGTTTCTAAATACAGACATCTCATTGATATGAGCTCTCTCAAACTAATGAATCATGGAAAGCGAAAATAACCATGAAATTTCACCTACACTATGCAATACTTCATTTATTAGCAGCCATTTCTGAAAACTTGTTAACAAACTTGCTTAGATTCACATTTGCAAACCTCAGTGCAGCAAACCACATCAACCAAAACACCGACTTTAACAATTAGACTCAGAAAGCCAATATATTCTAAACCTTCTCACATTATTATCACATACTGGCTGTCCTGTGTTTTATAAAACGCGAGAAAATTAAATTCTGAACCTCAAAAAAAATACTTGGCATCAAGCTCAGTTCAGTGAATGTGAAGAAGAGACCGTTTTCCAACATGTTCTCGGCGACCAAACGCAATATCACAAGAAAGTTAAATAATGTAAAGAAGAAGAACGAAAGAGACGCACCTGAAGCTGTGAATCCCTCACATTTTTTGCATACTTCGAAGCTTGTGATCCAAAGGAGAGCTTCGACCAGTGATCAGAGGATTTGCCAAATCAAAGAGAACAAGTACCTAGAGAGAGAAAGATAGAGAGAGAGAGAGAGAGAGTAAAGTTCGAAGCAGGAGTCTTACAGTTTCAGAGGCCTTTCTTACAAGGTTTGACTATATGAAACTCTCTCTCTCCTCTCTTCTCCCTCTGCTGTCTCGGATGCTCTGTTTTCTGGAATTTGATTGAAGCGGACCCCAAGTGGTTTATTAAATCTCGTTCAGAGGGGAGTTTCTACGTCCGTAACTCAGGAGTTTGGTTTACACGTGGCATTGATTGGTTGGTGGGTTTTCCGGAGTGACGTCATGGTGTTGACGGGTCTTCCTACCGAAAAATTATTTGGTGACTAGTACGCCACGTGACTTTACTGCTTACTAATCAAAATTTATCATACCTCTTTTATTTTTTAATCATTCAATACAAAATTATAAATCTCATTTTCTTCACAAACCGCAATGTGTATGGAACACCGCCTGGAGTTGCCCAAAACCAACCAATAACTGCTCCCTCTAACCACGGGGTTCTGCCTTAGTTCAAGTTTGGCAAATTTATAAAAAGTCAGAAAGTTAAAAAGTTAATACTATTCATCAAAAGTCAACAATTACGGCTGCACAACTTTCAATCTTAATTTTTTCCTACAAACTAATTTTTACAATTTTTTATTACACATTTTTCTATAAAAAGTCAAAAAGTTAACCCAAACATTTATATTTTTTTCCTCAATTTTTTAGTCCAAAAAGATAAAAAGTGCACTTATTTAGGATATCCCCAACAACCCTTAGTTGGACTGCGGTGCGGTGTATGTCTTGGTTAGATCTGGATCGCTGGTAGCATTTCTAATTGTACTGCCAACAAAAATCCAACGATAACCGAAATGTTATAAAAATAAGAAAAATGCTTGGGAGCACGAGAAATGGAGCACTAATGATGTGGCAGTGGGCCCCGTCCATTTTCTATGCCTTGTTTCTTTTCTTTTTTCTTTTTTTTTATCATTCTCAATGCATTAATGCTATTAGTAGTGTATTTTTTAATGGTCTAAATCATTGTGGTAAAAATAAACATAAATGACACATCTTCTAATTTGGAAGTTTTAAAAGAAGACTAATGATATGAAAAATCATAAAAAAAAAAAAAATTAAAACTAAAATATCACTTCACATTAAATTTTTACACACTAATTAAAACTATTAAAACTCTTAATTTAGAACTCTTAACTGTTTTTCAAAACGATCGCGCTACGTAGCTCGAAAACGGGGAGCCCGAATGGCTCGAATTTTTTTTTTTTCCGCAGAAGAAGAACGAAGACCAGGAAGAAGAAGGAAGAAAAGAGGAGGAGGAGGAGGAGGAAGAAGGGAGGAAGGAGGAGGAGAATTGGAGGGGGCATAATATTCAGGAGAGGAGGAGGCGGAGGCGGGGCGACAGCGGTCGGAGGCTGTGACGGGGCTGGGCTGGGCGACAATCGGCGGATCGACGGCTGGCCGGGGCAACGATCGTCTTCTCTCCCTCTCTCTTCCCCTTTGCTTCTCTCTTTCTCTCCCTCTGCTTCTCTCTGCGTCTTCTCCCTCGAACCATTCGGGCCAAAATGTTTCGAGCTACGAAACACTTCCCAAACCAAAAACCAAAAACAAAACACAAAAAAATTGTTCAAGACGTTCCACTAGCCGCAACCTTGCTGTTCCCAACCAACTTAGGTACAAGAAAGTAATTATGTCACTGATGACTCCGCAAAGTTGTCTCGTTAATGGTGTGTTTTCCGTTGAGTAATTATATATACACCACCAATTTATCTTCTTACATCATTTTTCTCATTATATCTTTTATAAAATTTAGTTTATTTTTTTAATACTTATTTTGATCTCCTTATACACTTCATAATTCCAAACCAATGACATTATCATTTGAGTAATATTATACGAGTGTTAAACGAATTTCATGTAAAAATTTTTTTTCTTTTTTTTTTTTTTAAACTGGAAAATGCCCTTAGGCTACAGAGGAAAATCAGAGGCCAAAAGAGCCTTAACACTAGAAAGAAGTTTTCTTTCCCAGTCTAAGGAAAAAGGAGGCCATTGAGGTGAGCATTGGCCAGCCAATGGGCCACACGATTGGTTGTTCTAGGAACCCAAGAAAATGCAAGAGATAATCGGCTGTCCATAGCTCAAATGTCATGGAAACATGCTCTACTTTCCCATGGAGGAACCAGTTTTGAGGCACTTAACTCAATGACAGATTGGTTATCACTTTCCACTTAGACATAAGACAGACCAAGAATTTGAAGGAGAAAGCATAATAACTTGATTGCCTTTGCCTCACCTTGAAGAACAGAGGACGACCTTACAGAGGTTACAATTCCATCAACCAGTTTACCAGTCCAGTCCTTAAGAACCACTGCAACAGATGACTTTCGTCCATCAGGAGAGAGGCTAGCATCGCAATTGACTTTCAGCATGCTTTGAAGAGGCGAAGTCCACGAAGACCTGCCAGTTCTAAGGGAGATGAGGGAGGAGGTATCACCCTAGGTGTCACAACCCAAACCCGCCCCTGTAGGTTTAGCATCGTAACCGGTCAGTAATCCGTGAATTACCAAAGACCTCTTAACAGATAAGCACATAATAAGGGGCTGTGGAAGCAATTATACAAAATAGATAAGGTCTAATGAGCTATGATAATATACATGGGACAGAAGATTTCAAAACTTGCATATACATAAGCGTGTCGGTCGAAAGACATCAATATTTACAAAACATTTACAAGAGTGTAATTCCCAGGACCCGACTTTACAAAACAGACAAAGACTAGCATAAGTACAAAAACAGCCATGCAACTAGACTTCGATCGGAACCTCCTCGGGAGGCACAACGGTTGGCTGACAAAAACAGAAATGAAGGCCATCAACTCTAGCCCTGATCACGCGCCGACTCACCTACATACATAATATAAACTGTGAGCGAAAGCTCAGTGAACAATAACAGAGTAAAGGGGTTTCAATGAATGAGTCTTTACAGATTCAGAAATCATAATTCAGTTTCGTATCAAATTCATAATTTGTCCAGATCATATACAGAAATCATGGGGTATGCTTAAGTATACGTGATACATCCATTAGCATTAACAAAGCAGATATAGAACAAATGCAGACACGTGAGGGTTATGAATAACCAGTTCTATAAAGGAACCTCCAAATCCAGGTAACAAAGAGTAAACACGTTGAGCCCCACGATGGAACCTCCGGTACGGGTAACAGAGTGCAGACATATTAAGTTCCATAATGGAACCTCCGATACCGGGTAACAGCCAACAGATATCATATGATGCTAAAGATGTCACGAATATATATCAGAAATTGAACAATCATTCATTGTACAGAACATATCATTTCAGAAAACCGATCTTAATTTATCACACAAAAAATAAGTAAAGTTGAACATATCTTTACTATGCTATTACTCACAGTTGGCTTTGAGACAGATAGACAGAGCAAATTGGTCAACGGTACGCGGCACGTGACCTACATAACACATAATAGACACACACTTGAAACACACGTTCTAATTGTACATAATTTATTTCGTGGCTCTTAGTATGTTTCTAACCTTTAATCCTTATTATGGAGTCTTAAACATGGCCTAAGAATGCCTAGGATGAAATGAGGATGCAAGAGTGCATTGAAAAACATTTCTTAAAACTTGCTGAAAATAAGGTCCACGCTCGAGCGAGGGCGTGGGTTTCCTCGCTCGAGCGGGCATGCAGACAATGAATCTCCACTCGAGCGTGACTTTCCCCGCTCGAGCAGACTGTAAACTCTTGAAAAAGTACTGGATGCATGATTTTTACGCTCGACGGGCGCTCGACCTACGCTCGAGCGTGAGACTCATAACCTCGCTCGAGCGTGGATTCCCTTGCTCGAGCGGACTGTAAAACACAAGAACTTCTGGGTATATGCATTTCACGCTCGAGCGTAAACCTTGACGATTGAGCAGAAGTGCATGTACTCAAAGTGCACGCTCGAGCGTAAAGTTCTCTGCTCGAGCGTGGATCAAATTTCTAGAAATTCCAAATTTGATCACCAAGCTCAAATTCAACCCCAAATGCATCAAACTCAATTTTCTGGGCCCAAGACTTTGGAAAACACTTAGTAACTCATAAAATAACATGTTTAAAGCATCATAACAATAAATCATGGCTCAAAAGTATGCCAATTGTGCAAAATTCCAACACAAACTTTATGAATATGTCATTAATACAACATGCAAGAACTTCCTTGAATTCAAACACTCCAAAACATAATCAAACTTGGTAATTTAATGGAAAACAAGATGAATGACCAAAATGTAAATGAGGTTAACACATGCATGAAAGAAATCTTTGAAATCATGTTCAATTTGTGAGAAAATGTACATGCATGCATGAATTTACTTGCCTACTTCAAATTCTAGCTTAATTAACCCATGAATTCACCTATTTCATTCATACACAAGCTCTAGGTGGCCCAAAAACAAGTTAAAGGGTTGAGTTCTTACCTAGGCTCTTCAATTCCTTATGCTAGAGATGGTCTTGAGTGATCTTCCAAGTTTTCCTAGCATTTTCCCTCCTTATGAATTCAATCTTCAAGCTCTACACCAATTCTCCCTTCTCTCACTCTCTCACCCGTTTGTCTCTCTTCGGCAAGCACAAAATCTGATGGAATCAAGAAAAAAGAGTGAGTGGACTCAAAGTGGTGCCTCAAATAGCCTTGGATACAAATAAGATAAATTGAGCTTAATTGGTGCACATAAATTTAATCTAATTTAATCGTTCCGAACCAAATTTTAATTAAACCTACCATAAAATTTTATAAATCCTAATTAGCACATAAATCAAGTCAATTTCTAGTTCGGACGCCGATAAGGCTTTCAATTCGCAAATTGAAACTAAAACATGAACAGATCTTTCTACACCGAACAAATAGAGACACAAAAATAATGCAATACACATGCAAATTAATTCAGAATCTCTCCTTAATTACTAATTAGGCATACTTAATCATGGATTAACGTTAATCAGAGGTCGAGGTTGTTACAGTCTTCTCCCCTTAAAAGAGTTTGGTCCTCCAAACTCGAATTACCATCATTCTGGAACAATATTGGGTTATGAGAGGGAGATTTATGATCTGGAATTGGGCCGAAGTAACGGCCGAGCAGGTTGAGAG